GGGGGGAGAAAGTGCACAGCTAGGCAGTTTATTGGAGCACAAAACGTCCTACACAGAGATCGACTGGGATAAGAACAGCAGGTGGAGTATTGTGTTTTGTAATAGTTCTGTGCTGTGATGGGCCAGGTTACAATGTCCCTTCATGGAGTGAGCGTAGGGTGACTCAGGATGGAGACTGCCACTTTTGCTGGTATTGATACAGAGGTATCCAAAGTGCTTTCCAGAACGAGTCTGATTCTGATATGTACCATTGCTTTCTCAAGTAGCAGAGGCACCTCCTGCCTATATTTATTAAAGCTTCTCACTACAGGTGCCTGATTAATACTGCTCTATGTTCCAGTTAGGCACTGCAGAAACCCACCAGACGAGCCTTTCATTCAGTCCTATTGACACCCAGCAAGGTGATCTTGCCAAGAAAAACATTCATCTACACTTCCCACAAGCTCAAATGAAGCACCTCTTTCTACAGCTAAGCTTTATTTCAACATTTCTGAAAATAACTCCACCCAAAGGGCAAAGAGAAAATACTTCCTTTTTAGGGTCAGGTGAGGAACCTTGAACATAATGGAGGTCTTCCACTTCTATTCAACCCTACTAGACAAGATAACTGCTTGAAACATTCAATAGCAGCCTCGCTTCCCAATAATGTTTACCTGTAAGGTCTCTGAAATCTACATTTTTCACTTGCAAATTTGAACTTTTACCCTTAAAAATGTACAATAAGTTTACCATCCCATTGCTCTGTGAAGCACAGTATACTGGGGCTGTTTGCCCATCAGATAACAGCTCAAAGTTTCCAGCAACCAGACACTCCAAGACATGAAACTTCTGTGCTATAAACTATATATCTGAAACTTAATTTCGCCCCAAGACTCATAAGATTCTCCAGCAATCTGCTTATTTCTCTGGCTTCTGACTAGGCTCCAAAGATGAAACCATGCCAATTTGCCAAGAGAAGAATATATCTTTGCGCCATGCAGGGGCTCCACATAGTCCAAATTGTCTCCATTTTTACTTCCAAGTTAAAAACCCCCAGCTCTCCTGCTACTTAAGCAGGTCTGGGAAATTGACTGGGCCTGAAAACCAAGAACAGTGCAGGGCTTAGTGCAGATTTAAAAGCTACAAGACTCTGGAGGCCATGTGGCTCTGTACACAAATGAAGGTGATGTACTTTAGGTCAAGAGAAACCATTCAATCTGAGTGTTTCCTGCTGGCTGCTTCACAGCAGTGCCAATGATACCAGAAGTCAGATGCCCTCCTAGCAGGAACAGCATCAACAGTAGGATAGGGAGTCTAGTCAATTTAACACTACAAAACATGAGATAAGGAAAAAATCCAATAAAAAAAAAATCGAGTGTGTGTAAGCAACCAAACAGCATTCTTCCTTTGAGTGCTCTGCTCCTTCCTTCCAGTGCCAGCCTTTCCTCCTCACCCCCGTTACTGGCAAATGTTCACCCACCTGAGTAGCTATTCTATTCTTTGACGGGCCATTAAAATCATATAATCACATCAAAGCACAGCAGATGAATGGCAGCCGAAAAGCTAGAAGACAGGGGGTTTTGTTTGCAGACTGGTACCCAAGGAGTCAATTCATGTGCCACATCTCTCTCTCACCCACACACCTGTTACACTCCATGTGGCAACAAAACATGCTACTTCATTGTAATTCCACAATCCAATCCCTCCCCCCCACACCGAGGGCCAAGAAAGCTCAGAAGGCAATCGCCCCATGTAAATGTTACATGCATTATTCAATTACCTTGAATATCTAAACTTACTGAGACCTGAACGATAGCTTGATTAAAACATAGGCAACTGGCCATTGCCAACTGTTACGTGCCATGTTTTGAGCTGGCTCCAAACACTGATCAGGATGCTATATTGCCCAGTATGTGCCAGCTTCCAGGAAGAGTCTGCAGGACCATCATGCCTCACTCCCAAGGATTTTACCTGATCCTCCTGCAGTCACTTTTTTGTGCAAAATTGAAACAGTGTGTGGTACTTGCATGGTGCATTCCATTTGTTTAAAACATTTATATAAATTTATTTTAACAGAAAGTTAGAAATCTTATTTACAATTTTTCCCCCCCACAAGAGCATCTAAAAAATCAGCTCCTTCCCCTGCCCCTAAAGAAGATATAAATCTTAAACTAGATTTAAAAAAGAAAACTGCTAAGCCATCCCTCCTGTTTTCTACAAATAAATATGGCATTGAACAGAAGCCGATTTGAAAACGGTCCTCCGTAGCTCAATCTGTAGATCAAGAATAAGTTAGGGTTTAAGAATTTCCTGGTCTTCAAATTGATTCACTCCATCGTTTGAGGTATAAATTTCTCATGTTAGAAATCCCAAGAAGATTCCATATCCGATTACATGAGGCTTTGATTCTCAAGTGTTTGTGTCATTAGCCAGTTAACTTCAACCCCTCTCGCAGTCCTCTGTTTTGGTTCTGGTCCTGGGCCGAAGGCAGGTTTTACTGCATGTTTCCTTCCTCTGTGCAGCCTCCCCCAACTGTGAAACGGAACTCCTGAAGGTTTGAAACACCATGGAAGTGCGCAAAAGCTCCAGCCACAACGAAGACATGAAACAGCTGATGGGAGTGGAACTGTGGAAACAAGACATTACTGTTCAACCAGAGACAGAGTTCAAGTACCACCCTCTTTCCAAAAAGACCTGTGTTGGACAGAAGCACACAGCAGTGCACACAGCAGCAACAGCTTAACACCACTTGCTGGGCTGTTCAATATCCCATATTGAACCAGTCACTATAGTATCACTGTCTATAGCATCTCCCCCTCTTCCTAGCAATATTCATAGGAAGCAGGGGAAAGCCATCTGGTTCAGATTTCATAGACAGCAGAATCACTTGCAGATTTGAAATTTAAAAAGAATGTATAGCTATGTGCCTATCCATCTTTGGCAGATCTCACACCAGCACGCATCCCGTTCCCAAGCCGAAAGGCTTAGAAGTACAGTGTATTTGTCCTTACTCTTACTTCCTAGAAACAGAGATACACTGTAGCTGCTGAGGCTAGTGACGTCCTATTTTTCAAATGTGGACAGATACTGACACACTGCTCTAGTGGTACTGGACGCAATGTCATCAAGTGGATTTCCAACACAGGCTTGCTCTGTCTGCTCCATCGCTATATGGGGAGGCAGGATGAACAGGATTCAACAAGCAGCTTGTGGGTTAGCTCAGTCACTGGCTATCCAAGGTAAGAGCCCAGGAAATGAGTGATTACAATGCAGCAGAATGGAAAACCATGAGACAGTGACATTGACCACTTCTTCCAGTTTAAAGGAAGAGGTAACACTGGATACCTACTAGACTAGGAGCAGAGTGGCATGCACATTGCAGAGCCTTAGTGACAAGGTACAGTCCCACAGCTAGCCTTTGTAAAGATATTTCAACAATCTGTAACAGCATTGTGTCAAACTTCTAGTCGTCAAACCCATTAATCTTGTCCCAGATTATAAAGTCTGACAAGCAGCTGTTAGAGCAGCTACAGTTAGTTACCACAATCAAAGAAGCACAAGAGCATAGCAATACCAGACTTCAGCATAACAAGCTAATGTGTCACAATCTTAGTATCCAATTTCTTTGCAGACTCACCCAGATATCGCACTTGCCCGGGAAGAATCTCTCTGGTATCCGAGCAGCATATAGCGCAGCACCAGTGATGTACAGGCAGGCCATGAGAGCTAGCCAGCCTATCTGCCCCATTGTGGCTGCCTTAAGAAGGCCTTCAGAGATGACAAAGTGCAGGGTGGGGATGACACCACTGAGACCCAGACCCAGAAATACTCCTATGAGGGAAGGAAAATGGTGGTGTCAAGCTTGGATAAAGAAAGCAGCAATAGACAGAACCTAACATTCACAAAAGATACAAGGTGGACATCTGAACTATGGTGGCAAGTTTATGCCATAACAAAGCAAGTGCTCAAGAAAGCAAAGTTCTTTGATACACTATGGATATTGGTCAACAGACATACTAAATGTAACTTCACTTTCAAGTTCATGCCTCTATGTACAGGCCACCTACGCACCAACTTGAATGTTAACGTTCTTAGGCTATAGAGGGTGCCTATATCCCATAAAATATCCTGCTACTGCAAGAGTATGGTAGAGAATGATCCACAAGGAAATGGCCACTGATGTACACTATTAACAGTGCAACATGCAGGTTGCCCCAGGAATGAACATAGAAGCCCGCACTTGAAGAGTATCTGATTCTGTATCTTGCCAGATCACAGCTTGGCTGATTTCAAGATTCTCCTAGCAGAGAGTATTAAACCTTTCTCATAGACTCATAGACTTTAAGGTCAGAAGGGACCATTATGATCATCTAGTCTGACCCCCTGCACCGTGCAGGCCACAGAATCTCGCCCACCCCTCTTAGAATAATCCTCTCACCTATGTCTCAGATATTGAAGCCTTCCAATACTTTGAAGGCCCCAACATGCAGAGAGTCCTTCAGCTGTGATCTAACAGAACATTCTATCTACTGTACGGTTAATATTCAAGAAAGTGAACTCCCTGTTGTGTCCAGACATTCAGATCTGTCCTGAACATAAACAACAGTTCTCCTTGGAGTTTTGTGTACATATAAAACCAAGATGAAGAAACAAGAGAAACTTGATACAGCATTAAACTGAGTTATCAAAAGATATTGAGTTCCCCTAAAAGCTCCCTCCCCACTCTCATTCTTTACTGTCAAGGTGACAGTAACTATTCTTATCTAAAAAAATAACAAATGGTCTGGTAACACTTTATAGACTAACGAAACATGTAGATGGTATCATGAGCTTTTGTAGGCACAGCTACCAGACCATTTGTTGTTTTTTCTGTAACAGACTAACTCAGCTACCCCCTGAAATTCTTGTCTAGATAGAGACAAGTGAGGGATTGCTCATTTGCACTCAGCAGGAGGCTATCTACAATGTTTAGCAGACCTAATATTATAGCCACAAGGTGAGCAGTACTAGGAGTCCATGGGAGTCAGACATTGACTTCCAGTATCTAACCTATGAAAGGAGAGAGTTGTTATATAATGATGGAAAAACTTAACTACCTCTCCCACTCCATGTGCTGTCCCCCTACTCCTGCCTGCACCCAGACCACCTAACTTAACACCTATTCTTCTCTTACAACAGATGTGACAAGTTTGTTATCCACAACATGTTACAGTAAACTTCTGATAATCTGGCACCTTTAGGGCCCAGGGGGTGCGGGATTATCAAATATGCCGGACTATAGGAAGGGGGGGGGCTATGAGAGGTCTGGGGTGGAGTGGGGGGGATGCACCCCTCGCCGCTGCGGGACCAACCCAGCAGCACCCTAGCTGCTCTGCCCCAGATTTCCCCAAGTCAGCCGCTGCTGAAACTGACCAGCGCCCAGGCATACCCAAGAACAGCTGGGGTGCTGCCGGGTTGGTCCTGCAGCCCCGAGGGGCGACGCTATGGGACCAACCCGGCATCACCCCAGCTGCTCTGCCCCCAGCTTCCCCGAATCAGCCACTGCTCAGTTTCAGCAGTGGCTGAATCAGGGAAGCCAGGGGCAGAGCAGCTCCAATTGTCCAGCTGCCTAGAGCACTTCCGGGTTCCCGATGGTGCCGGACCATCAGGAGTGCTGGACCACTGGATGCTGGACCACTGGCATTTTACTGTAGTTGAGTTTCTCCACACACAGGAACATCCTTTGGCAATGAAAGCTTTCCTACCAGTCAATTTTTGTTACAAGTCAATAGGTTGCAACAGCTATAATGAAGAAGCAAAAAAATAAAATAAAATAAATTTACCTGCTCTCACCCCCCGGTATTCAGGGGTTGCAAACATGTCCCACTGCGAGACTATTATGGCTGCAATTCCCAGGACACAAATCACGATCAAGTAGATGAAGCAAGGCTGAGGGTTGCAATAAAAGGAGTAGTACAGCCATGGAACAAAGCTGCCCATGATGAGAAGTGCGATGCCAGAGTAATCCAGCCTAGAACAGGTTGATAAAGAAAGTCAGTCCCAGACCACTGTGTTTACTGCTTAGCCTACTTATCCCTGTAATATGGGCTAACTTACACCGTACACTGAATGATTACTCCCATAGAGTCCCACTGCTGATTCTACTTGCCTGGTCATGCCATCGTAAGACCAATTACTGAGCAGTGACCAGCAGGTGTATGCTGTTCCCCTGAGCCCAACATTCGACAGGCCCAGAGTATAAATAGTTCGTGCCATCTAAGAGTCTCTCATTTCTATTCTTAGGGGAAGAATAAATTTACTAAAACCACTCAGGAGCATTTTCTTGATGCAAAAGAAGATAGATATGCATTATGGGGCCTACCTGAGTGCAGCCAGAATTCTGGACACTGTACTTTGACTTTAGAAAGTCCATATTAGGATGGCAAATACAGACTCCCCACCCAGGGTCTTAGTATCCACCTAGGAAGCAACCTCTCATCATCAACCAAGGCGTTTTTAGTAACAGTTAGGTGGCAGAGTAAATATGGTGCCTTCTTTCCAGATGCATACTTCTCAGACCAGTGCTTCTCAACTTAGTTATCATCATGGGCTGCATATATGGCCCACAAAACGTCACCTGGGCCATAAGTAAAGAATGCATAATGCCCTCCACATAGTCCCTGCCCAAACCCGAGGCCACAGTCCTCCACCCAGAGGCCCCACAGAATGGAACCAGGAGCATTGAGCTGGGTAGGCGGCAGAAACCTCAGAACCTGCTGCAACCCTGCACCCTATGGTAGACCAGCCAACCCCAGCTCTGCAGCCTTTAGCACAAAGCTGAGCTGGGTATTTGCAGTGCTAATTGGGCTACATCCAGTCCCTGGGCAGAGAACCACTGTCAAGACTGTTTGCTTCCTAACAGAAGACTCATGCACTACCATAGCCTTTTGCAGGAACAGATTCTTCAGGAGGAAGTCTTTGGTCCTTTTGGACTCTTTTTGTAGTACACTTGCAAAATTCACTGGTAAGTGATCTTTTCAGAGCAAAAGGCCTTCATTGTCCAGCCAAAGCAGGGTGCTTAACGGGGACAAGAGTTATACTTTCTAAACTCTTTTATCTGACAAATCCACTATTGTCTAGTCAGGCCCACGTGGACCCAAAATACATTAAAAGAAGGACAAAGGCAAACAAGTTACATTAAGATTTTAGAATCTTATCTGTAATAGTTTAAAATGTACGTACAGTCATCGCAACAGCGAAAAGTTGTTTCTGAGATTGCCTCAGCAAAGGGACAGAGTGGAACTTACACCTTTGGTCTAGGGAATGTTGGACCGGAAGGAACTGCGTGCAACCTTACCAACCAACTACTACTTGAAAATGTTTCTGTGGCCACATAGCTAGATCACATACTGTTACAGTGGAGCTTCCAAACCCCAGCCATGATTCCCTGTGCCGTTCTGCCCATCCTTTTCCCATCTAGCATGCATTTCACTGGGTGCTTACTTGGAGAAGAGCCGAGAGACACCTTCTGAATGACAGTAAACTGTGTGGAAAAGCCATGAGAAGGAGAGGCAGAGGATGGCTCCCAAGAAGAACATTCCAACTACCACCTTCTCCTGCACAGGCGCTACAAAGGACATGTTTGGCCGGAACATGTAGAAGATTCCCAGACACAGGAAGAACACACAACCTAAGTAAAAATAAAGCAAAAATATCAGACTCATGCAAAGGTATTCTACTGGACCAAGTTTACAGGTGTGAGGAATACTGAACAAGATCATGATGACAATGTTACACTTTCATGTGCTCTGGCACAATCATATGCTTGACCTTCACTCAATGTGTCTGATTGGACTGACTTTGTAGATACTTGAATAGAAACAATGGTTTCACTGGTTGTGTGAGGTACCCAGAATCTGAATGAGCACACAACTGCTGCTCTGAGCTGGGTGCCAAATCTCTATTTTGTCCCTGATAGCTAATTTAAGTGGTAAGGAATACCACACATTGCATCCTCCATTTCTAAGATAAAGATAGGGAAATCGCAAATCCTAGACCTCACAGGAATTTTATTCCCAAATTCCCCAAGTTGTGGCATTCATTGAAGGGATCACCCAGAACCACCATCTCCCCCTCTCAAAGTGACTGACAGACTTCTTCACAGCCCAGTTTCAGATAAAAATCAAGTACCCGTTTCCTGAACCCGTTTCCATCGTACAAGGAGGAATAAGGATGCTTATCAGAATCACTGGCACATCTTTGAAAGACCTTTTTTGAACTCCTGGGAACAGTGGCTCATACCATAGATTCATAGATCAGCAAACCTCTCTGAGCCCAATTTGCTGCTGTGGCATGTTTATTCCAAAGCTTAAGTTGTTTGCTAAAGAATACTGCTGTTCACTCAACATCTGGAAGAGTTCAAGACTAGATTTTTATCTTCCAAAGCCAAGCCAGAGGGCTGATGGGTCAGAGTCATTGCAATGCTAATTCTAAAACTAATTTGCGGACAGATGAGCTTCTGGTCGCCCTAGGATAATGCACCCTGAGCAATGAGAAGGGGGTATTCAGCACAGGCAAAGGCATTCAAAAAGCTGCTGTTTTGTTAGACTGACACTTCAGATGTTTCTGCCAGGAAACAAGCAATACTTGTGAGAATCTAATTTGTGTAAGCCACAGCAGATAATGCTCAGCATTGCCGAGGAAGTTTGACCCGCTGGCCAGACTCTTGCCCCTAGTTTGGTAGGGAATGGAAAGTGCTGTGCAAGAAGCACATATCTCCAGGGGAGGACTGAAGGAGTATGTACCTTTCCAGCAAAATGGAGAAAAGCACAAATAGGTCTGAGAAGAGTTATAGCCAATTCTTCTTGACTGAAAAGTAGGTGACACCATCACTGCTTTAAGCACAGAGCTCCCACAAAATGCTTCTCCTTACCTTGTGATGAATCCCATGTATTGGGGAAGAGGAGCACAGGTGAGGGAGAGGGTGAGCTAACACTGCATATTTCCCCTTTTAACAAAAATGCTGCCTCAACTAGAAAGAGGGAGGGCAACAGCAGTTGGCAAGCAAGTATATATTTGGCATACACACTTATGCTTTATTCCAGAAAAGGCCACATGTCAATAGCACAGTACAGATTTCAATTTGTATAATTGGAGAAGAGGACAGGAAGAGGGTGAACGTCCTTCTCTGGGATCTAGGAAATGCTCATCTAGTATATTC